GAACAAGCTTCCAGGCTATGTGTCTGTGCCAAATGGCTCAGCAAGTCGGTCATAACTCGAGTCAATACAGTGTGGAGCTGGAGGAACACAGCAGGTCAGGCAGTATCAGAGGAGCAGAAAAGTCAATGCTTCAGATTTACATCCTTCATCAGGACTGGGCCAGTAGTAATATGAGCCTGGTATCTCTGGCTGAGGGGCCTAAGTGCAAAAAAGGCAAAGCCTTGCAAGGCAGGAATGCTGTGAGTATCCAGGTAGGCTCAAAGCGAGAGAGTGATATTACAGCCAACAAAGAGCTTGGATATGCAACCTGTTCCAATCTAGATACTAGGTGCATATCCCTCAGAGCAACGCGCCCTTGCAGCAAAAATATAGTGAGAGCTGCCACTGCAGCCCGAGGTGTGCCAGTGAAATGCAGAAGCATCCTGTAAGTGGATCATAGATGTGTCTTGAGGGTTCTTTGAGGCTGGCGTATATCAAATGCCAAAGTTCATGGATATGGGGTGACTGTGGCTAGTGCCCATGAAGCGTGCCCTGAGATGTTGGTGCCTAATATCAAACGTGGAGGTCTTTTGGAGCAAGTGTTAACCTGAAACTGCAAGCACCCACGCCAGTTACTTTGTTGGGTTTTTCTGATGTCTAGTTTGTTGAGCCAGTTTGGTAAGATTGCACCTGGAATATCAATAAGACAAATTGAGCCAGCAAGCAAGAGTGTTAACAAACAAGTGTTATTCATTGTCAATGGTCATCTCACCACTGCCCGGCAAGAATCTTGCCATGCCACTTATGAAAATGTGTAAAAGATTAGGTGAGATGATCTCAATGTCAAGATAGGCCCTACTGCACTTGTCACCTAATTCTGCCCCACATGGCACTGTAGCTCGCATCGTTCAATTCTCTATAAGATTCCACCCAAAGTTCACTAACATTTCACACAGAGAGTGGTGGGCGTGTGGAATGCGCTGCCGGCAGTGGTAGTGGAGTCAGATACTTCAGAGACTTTTAAACGACTCTTGGATAGGCTCATGGAGGATAGTAAAATGTAGGGTATGCAGGGTAGATTGATGTTAGTAGGATAATAGGTCGGCACAACATCATGGGCCGAAGGGCCTGTACTGTGCTGTATGTTCTATGTTCTATTACTGCTAAACTATTATCCAACAAACGTCTGAGTCTTTTCGATTTGAGTATTTCAGGAACTTTATTCATTATGCTGATTGGAACATATTTTAGATGTTAAGTAAAATTGAGCACAACTGTGAACAAAATTTTAAAAAGATATACACATTTCTACAGCTTTGCTTGTCAGAACATGCATGTTTGCAGAGTTTGAGCAATGGCTGCTAGAACTTTATACAACATTGTAAAATCCTGCCTTAAGGCACTATAGATTCATCAATGCATTCTACTTATTTTCAATCTTGTTGTCTGAATCTGTTCTGAAGTTATAAAAGTAATTTTAAAAATACAACAATAAACAGAGAGACCTGATGATGAATTTTCACTGAACTTTGATGGTAGATGGACATATTGAGAACATGGTTAACAAATCATATGTGATTTTGAGTTCCATAAATAAAGACATAAAATACAAAAGCAGTAAAGTAGTATTGAACTTTATATACCAACTAGAGTTCTGGTCATCACACTTTAGAAAAGGTGTGAATATCTTTGAGAGATTGCAGAGGTGATTTAGTTCAAATTTAGTTAAAGGCAATTTAGATAATCAGTCAAGTTTATAACATGGCTCATTTATTTGTGCTTGCAAAGAGCATCATACATTCATACACAATGACATAATCTCTGAAAACATAAGGAACATGGTTAATCATAAATTTATTTTAATGACCAAGAGCTTGGGAATTCTCTGATGTCCCATTGTTTTCTCCATTGCAATGCCTCAGCTAATTAGAATTGATTTGCTAACCAAACAGCATCTTTTTCTAATGTAGTACAGAGTGTTATGATGCTTTGAAACTTAGCATTCTTGTGGTTGTTCTGATGAGAACAAGACAAAAATGCTTTGGCAATGTACTCTCTTATCAGTAATATTAAACTGAAAACCATCCGGTTGAAGCTCTGGTCTGTCCATGGTGCAACTGAGCAGGATTTAAATTCAGGAAATCTGCGTAAAAATTAAAATGGAAACATGTTACGCCTGGATTTTGTCCATTTTGACATGCGATCAGTGATCACTAAGTAATCCTCAAATCTTGCCTCGTCATTCTTTGTATGATATAAAAGAACATATGACTTTTCAAGAACAGCCAATATTGAACTTTAATTCAATGGCATCAAAACAACTTAATTGGTTATTCATTTCACTGCTGTTTGTGGGGTCTTCCTGTGAGTAGATTGTTCTTTAGTAACTGACTTCAAAGAATTAAAAAACAGGTATTTTGTTCTATAGATCTGAAAGATGCAATATAAGTGCAAGTTTGTCCTTTATTCATAATATTATTCCTGGATTCAGGTTTCTATTTGTAATCAAAGAAGGGTCACTGGACTTGAAACATTAACTCTGTTTTCCTCTCTTGAGATGCAGCCAGATGTGCTGAGTTTCTCCAGCACTTTCTGTTTTTATTATTTATTAGTTGCTTTGATGTGTGACCCATGCTTTTGTTATATCTGCTATGTTGATGAGAATTGATGATGAAAGACCAGTTAAATCTTATATGTGGAGTAATGGACATGAAGCAATTATTAGCCCTCACTTACACGTTTCTTCACGTCTAGAGTTTACAAGAAACAAATTTTGATCTCAGGAACTACAGGTCTGCTTCTGGTCAGAAAGTTATGGTTCCTGCTGGAACTTGAACATGTATATTAATACTTTAGTGCCATTTTGAGGTGTGATCTTCAAATTGGACAGTGCCTTTTTCAGATCTGATGGCTCAGCCGCATGCCAACTGTTGTTCATAGAATCCTTCCAGTGTGGAAACAGGCCATTCAGCCATCAAATCCACACTGACCCTCCAAAGAGCATCCCACCCAGAGCCACCCCACTACCTATCCCTGTATCCCTGCACTTTCCACAGCTAATCCACATAGCCTGCACATCCTGGACACAATGGGCAATTTAGCATGACCAAACCATCTAACCTGCACATCTTTGGACTGTGGGAGGAAACCAGGGCATCTAGAGGAAATCCACACAGACATGAGGAGAATGTGCAAACTACACACAGACAGTTTCCCGAGGCTATAATCAGATCTGGGTCCCTGGTGCTGTGAGGCAGCAGTGCTAACCACTGAACCGCCTTAGTCTTCATTTCTACTTCAACTAAAACTTACTGGTATGTTGTTGGGCCTTGTTGCATTCAAAATAACTGTGCATTCACCAACATAAAATAACAACACGCTCAAGTAATTCACTGTCATTGCAGAATTTGTGACATTTCTGAGCAATGCTTATAATGAGTCGTATAGCTACAGTTTTTTTTCTGTAATTCTATCTTACACATGAAAACTGAATTTATACCATTAAAATTTAAAAAATATTAAAACTATAGCAGGATATGAGGAAATAAGTCAAATGCATGTCATGTAAAGACAGTAAGCAATGAAAGCAGCTACTGTAGATTCTGGAGATCTGACAAAGCTGATAATTCTGGGAAAGTTCAGCAGGTCCAGGCAGCATCTTTGGAGAGGGAAACCTCTGAAAACGGTTTTAAACTTCTAATTTTTTGCGGCAAAATTACAATAGATTAGAAAATTCAAATTTAATTATTTTAGTTTTATAATAAAAGAAATTTGACTGACAAAGTGGGTGCTATTTTGAGGAGGCAATTTAATGCTAAGAAGCAAAATCTTCGAAAAACTTCAGTAGGGTTCACTGTATTAATATATATTTATACAATAATTAATCATCCACTTTTCTTCTTTTACAGTTTTAACGTCATATTTTTAATGTGATTTAAGATGGAGACTAGGATTAAAGACTGAGATGTCCCACCAGATCATGATGGAGCAAAATAGTGACCATTTAGATAGCACCTCATCATGTCCTCAGTTTGTCCCAAAAGGTTTTTGAACGAACTGATGAATTTACTATGCAGACAAATACAGCTAGACCTCATCATCAGTAAATGCCCAGATAGGTAAACTGCTTTTGGTGATGTTGGCTGAAGGAGGAATTTCAGCAAGGGCACAAGCATTTGCTACTCATTTTTTTGCAAGTTATTCTGTTGGATCTTTAGTTTCCCTGAGCAGGGATGTAGGAATTTGATGTAATGAGTTATCTGAAGAAAATCATTCCCAACAGTGCAGCACTTTCAGTGCTGCAGTGACATGTCTGCCTTTGTGCTCAGGTTTACAGTGGGGCTTGAATCCACAGATTGATTCAGAAGGCAAAAGTGCTAGCTGGTGACACACTATTACCAACTGAGCCAAATTGGTGCTCCATGATTGCTTTTACCATAAATTGAAGCTGTAGCCTTTTACAGTCTCATACTGCCAGCTCCAATGCTATCAGCAGGGAATGTAACTGAAGAAAACTTGTACCAAGCTCCTATTCCATTGTTCACCCAACAGGAGGCAGATCAAGGCAGGCAGAAGTAGCAACCTCTAATCTGACTTTCTCAGGGAGAGAAAGTAATTTATGAGCACTGTGCAGCATTCTTTACTAGCATTTGGGACGAAACTTAATAAGCCAGATTGCTTATATTGGCTTCCATTTATGCTGAACTGTGCTATCACATAAATGTGGAGAAAGCACTTAGTGCTTTAATATCAGCCCATACTACTTAAGTACACTTTAAAATGCTTCAAATCATTACTCTTTCTTTCTTCCCTCACTCTACTGTATTTCAATTGTCAAATATAATTATGTGTAGAACTTGTAAAATTCATCAGTCAATACGAGAAATGAATTTTATTAAACAGGTTTTTGTACAAATAATACTTTTGTGCTTATTTTGATAAGGATTTTATTGTTTAAAAAGCAACATATCCACTTGATAAAATTATCAGAATGTCAATGGTCAAAATGCTTTCTTGCTCCTAATGTGATTCTGGGTTTTCTTCTTTTATTAACCAAATTTTATGTCAGACATATATGGAATTAAGGAGAATAACACCAATGTAATCAAATCAATAATTATCTTAGTTCATACTCTTTTAATGATTGTATACCAACCATATCAAATTTAACAAAATAACACATTTTGAGGCTTTGTGAATTATCACATATGTAGCAGTGTCCCAGAATCAATTTGGAGTGGTTCTTCCACAACATTCCTCCACTTGTTGAACTACTTTCAATAAAATCTTTTTAACAGTATAGTAACAAATTAAACCAATCGATAAATAGGAGAAATCAATTTCATTTTGAAAGAATATATACAGGTTTATGGTAAAATATTTTGTTAACTGATATACCATTCTGTTTTAATAATAGGCAAAATGATAAACAGTTATTGTTTGTCATTAATAAATGTGAATGATTCACTGGACTGTCAGTAAACTAGATTTCCCTTTCATTGCAGTAAATTAGAAGCAGGAATATATCATTATGAAGTGACAGACTAGATCTATTACTGCAACTCTGGCATTTTTTTTGTTTCTTAGTTCTTTTGTATCTCTGTAATTGGATTAATTTCACAGTTCTAAATATCTTTTTCTCTAGTTGTAATGTATAAAATATAGCAGCTGTTGAAAATCCAATAAAAGTGCTGAAATAAGCTTTAGAAGATGTTACACAGTAAAATAACTGCCTCAGGCAGATATTGTTCATCAGCACCAGAGGTAATTCTATCATTCCTGAAGGATGATGGTAATAGTACAGTACTGGCCATTAAACAAACAGGAACTATTTCACTAAAGTATGCAAGTTATTATATAGTAAAGGTAATAATTTATGACCAGGTTTTAGTCAGCTTTGTGAATGGAAGTGAAAATTCTATTACAAATTTCATCATGATATATTTTACTTAAATTTGTTATATATTTTGTTAAATGCAATCACTCAGAGATAATTGGATGGTGTTGTGTATTTATGCACTTTCCTTTGGCCTCTGCTATCTGGAGTTTATTCCAAAACAGTTTCAGGGATGGATGTTTGTTCTCTCTGGTAACTGCAGGGACTCAAAGTGAAAGCTATATTGTACATGTGTGTGTAGATATATATATAGATAGAGAGTCATAGAGATGTAAAACTATATTATATGTAGTCATAGAAATGTACAGCACCTAATGTGTGTGTGTGTGTGAGTGTGTGTGTGTATGTGGTTTAGTTAATATATCCTTGCTCGCCATCTAGCTTTATTATCCCTAACCTCCAATCTTTCACTTCTGAACATTGTTATTTCCCACCTTTAGGAAAAATAACTTTAAAGTTGAAATAGGAACATGCCATGATGAAATGTCTCTGCTTCTTTCTGAACTTGCACATAGAAAAGTATAATTTGCCTGCACAGGCAACTGACCAATTCACTGCAAGCAAATCCTGACCACTAAATGGTTTGTAACTTTCATGGATAGCAGTAGGTGGGTATTCTGATTGCTTAATCCCCTCCCTGTTTGATGTACACTGAAATTGAGTCAAAGGAAAAAATAAGCTTACAGTACATGCTGAACTGACTATTGGTACTGTTCATTGACTGGCTTCATTTGTTACTATAATGGCAAGTTGATAATATCACTCAAATTGTTACCTTAGAGCTCAATAAAGCATATCAATAATATGAAAACTGTGTTTCATGTGAGAGTTCACATCAGAGTTTGCTCTTGCTGATATTTATTCACACCATCATTTTAATAAGTCACTTGAGTTCTTTAAGTACACAGTACATGGAAGCAGGACTAAAATATATAGTTAGCATGTATCTGCACTGCAAATACTTCCCATGCATTCTTCTCTGCACCATTTCAGAGCTGATGCATGACTAATCTGGCTTCTGGTAGATTCTAACCTTAGGGAAGTAGGTCAATGCTTCAATGGCTCATTCGAATGTATGCTTTATGAACAGAGGTGATACTGTAAGAGTTTTGCAGAAACATTTTGTTTTCTTTCTACAGTGCTCATTGTGGTTGCCCTAGCTGTGTGTTGGACCCCATTGCAAATTCGTCGTATCATGGCAGCAGCCAAAGAAAAGTCACAGTGGACAACGGTATATTTCAGAACTTTTGTAACCCTATTGCCTATTTCAGATACTTTATTTTATCTCAGCTCAGTATTAAATCCACTGCTGTATAATCTGTCCTCTAAGCAGTTCAGGGCAGTTTTCATGCAGGTGCTGCGTTGTAACTCTATAGAGCATGTAAACATGCAGACACTAAGGAGAACCCAAGCCAATCCCAAAGGTAACACTACTCAGTCCACAAGGTCATTGCTCCATGCCACACTCAAATACAGCTCTCCACGTCGGAAAAGCAACAAAAACCTTTCGAACACTGTGATGAAGGACACAGATGTTGAGCTTGAGCCATTGTCACATCAAAACTGCGAGACCCAAACAACAAAGCCAGATGGATTTAACTCTGCTGACTCAGTTTCAGGGCCCAGCTTGTTGAACACTAACTCAAAGCTTCTTTCCCCAGAAATAATATCTGAGCTACACCTAAAGCAGCAACCAAATGGAGTCAATGAAACTGAGATATGAAGCTTTTATAAAGTGTAACTATATCAGGCAAAAACCACAGAGAAAATTTTCAAAGTGCTGTTAGTGATTCTTCCAAAAGTCATTTTTATAATAGCATGTGAAATTTCAATAAAGCAACCATGGAATTGGCAATTGTCTCTGTGTCAAGAATATGGTCTTTTAATGTTTTTGGATGGTGATTGTCAGTTATTTTTAATGTAAGCTGTTGCACAGCATGTGAAATGTAGACAGCAAAGCAAGGTAGGAAATGTCAGAACTCCTACACCAATAATGACACTTGAGTTTCCTTCATTTTATGTGTTTATGTTGGAAGAATTGCTGATGTGAGTATTCCAACAGCAGCTACAAGTTTTAGGCTTGCTTTTGAAGACATTGCTGAGCTTCCTCTTCTTCTGGGACGGGGTCCATTACAGAGTGGACTGTTGCAACAGCTGATGCACACAGATCCCACCTTTCCTGGAGAACAAAATGACTGATAGCCTGCTGATGTAATGAGGCAAGACGTAGAAGCAGCGCAAGACTTTCGATACATAACTCCTGCAAGTAGAAAAACAGCAATGGTAAGATTAATTTCAGTATTATACCACTGTACTGTACATTCTATCATTTACTGTTATACAAAGATAAAATGAATTTGAAAATCTTTAGCATGTCTGCCACATTCTTGCTGTAACTCAGTGTGGCAAATGAGCTGGAAAATAGAATCTAGTCTGGACTGGGAGGTTCTGGAAGACCTATTAAGCTTTGGAGCCTCCTTCCAGCCCTTATAAGGCAATTGGAATGGAGAATTTGATCACCGGAAAAGGATCCTAAGCTTTAAGAGGATTTGGCACATCTTCTTAACCTGATGTACAAAGTAGGAAAAGGCATTCCAGCCTCTGCCTTGAAAGGAGCTGGGGTTGGGATCTTGGATTGTTTCCTGAACCTTGAAGAGGTATTGAATTCGAAGGGGAATCTTCAGTCTGTTTTTAACAGAGATAAATGAGTAAATGAAGAGATCTGTCTGGCAAAGAGTATTGCTGCATTTAAACAGCAGCAGAATTATGGGAACACATCAAATATTAACTAGGTAATTTGGAAACCTTTGTAATTTAATTTACCAGTCTTTTGGGACTGTGTTCAGTTAACACTTATGGCAAGTTTTTTTTTAACTTTATTGTTGCAAAACCTGTAGGCTGCTGCTATCTGTAGGATCGAATAATTGGTGACCAGACATCAGCTGTTTTTCAAGCTTGCCTTCTTGCGAGATTATCTTTAAGGATCTTTTCTGTTCTGGCAAACTTATGGTGAAGGAGCAGCTCTAAGAAATTCCCAGTCCAAAGGGTAATAAAAATGCAGCAATGCATTTGGCAATTATTAAAGGAGACACTAAATACTGAAATGTACGATTTATTGTCTTGACGGATGTGCAGAATGATTCCCCCAAGAAATATTTTTATTTTAAATGCTTTATTTGAGACATTTCACAGAAATTGGAGCTACATTAATTCTGCCCACCAAAACATAGCTTTGAAATATTGTAGATGTTTTAAATATGAACACAAATGTGTGAATGTGAATATAACTTTATATATGCAGTCCACTTCCTCAATACAACATGTTAACTTGTGAACAGAAACATTTTGCTCTTTAGATGTACACGAAAATTAACTGGAAGCATATCCTACATTCATAAAGAATTATTATCACATTTGTCCCTATTCTGGACCTCATGGCAATCTAAAAGAGAGATGAACTATCACAGGACTCAGGAATTCATTGAGCCCAATAACAACATGTAGATGGAAATAGAATGGGGCGAGGTACTTTAATAGCTGGAAAACCAGGAGGTATAAGCTGGAGTTTTTGGCTGATGAAATCAGGACCCTGGTCTGAAATTTTCAATCATTAATTATTAAATGAGCTTTGTTAACAAGCCATTATGCCACCAGTGCAGACTGAGTTAGCTTTTTCTTAAATGATGGGATGAAAGGCTGGATACAATATTCAGTGATGCCTTGTGAGCATTAGGTGGCATCACCTCCAAGATGTACCTGTGCTCTTGGTGCCCGCCCACATGCTCTCCAGAATCCAACCAACTCCGTGCCCCTTATACTGCGCCCTTACCCCCACACCCATGCTCTCTGACTCCTTCCTGTTCAAAACCCTAGTCGTACTATTTTCTGGTGACCGTGTACTCTCTGTTAATAGGGTCTCCCACTGCTGAGACTACCAGAGATGCTGGCCACTCAGATTGGGTGGGGGTGTTCCTCCTGCTGAGGGACAGAAGTCCCACTCTCGGCTCATTGAGGCATGTTGTTGCTGCAGACCAGTCTTCTTTTTTAATTCAGTCTGCTTAAGACCGATTTTGTAATAGGGGACTGAGCAATATATCGTGGCATAAAATTCAGCCCTATGGGTTTCATAGGGAACGTTATGAATTTAAAACTGGATCTGCTTTTAAAGGTTTTGTGATGATGGATGGTCAGACAGTCAGGTGGGGAGAGGCAAAGCATTTACAGTTTATTCTATCTGTTGAGCCACAGGAAACTAATCCTGCTTTTCTTGGTCCCCAAAGCAGTGCTTCAAGGGCAGAAAGTCAATTTCTGTCACATCTCTCTTCAGTCGCTGGATTTCACAATACTCAAGAAACCTGGTGTGTATGTGTTAAGAATAATGATGATGTTAAAATAGAGGTATGCAAATCTCTTTTAAATATTCCAAGGCTTGGCCCACATTCTGCAAGCAGTTTGGTCATCCTCTAACCCACTTCCATTAAAAGCAGAAGTGAGTTCAAAGACAGGTATCCATTTAAAAAATTTTAACTACCGAAACCTGCTCACTGATCCAACAATGTTAAACAAATAACTCTTGCATTTTAGCAGTTTTAGGAGGAATATAAGTGGGTAAGTGTCACAGTTAAAACCTTAGAGTAGAGTTCTGGTTAAGGGTCACACAAAAATGTTAATGTTCTTTTCTCTATGCAAGCTAATCAATAGACTGCACAATACAAATATTTACTTCTGTTAAAATCTAAGGACACAAAGTTAAAAATTACAGTTGGTAAGATTAGCAAGTTTTTAAAGATATTTCTATGCCAGTTCTTTATATACTAATTTAACAAAGCATTTAACCTGTTTAAAATAAATGTCTATTTAGTTTGTGGGGAAATCCAGCCCTCTGACAGATCTAACTGGTTGGCAAGGTCTTATTTATGTGTTAAGACTGATTTTTTATTGTGTGAAGTGCTGTATTTCAACCGGATGTACAGGCTGGAGCAGATTGTTAGTTTAAAGAATTACAGAACTAGCATACAATAAGGTGGTTGTTTTTAACACCCACTCAATCAGTTAAATAAAAGAAACTAAATGTCTCAAAATCATTCAGCGACCGAAATTAGAAGATATTTATAGATTAGATTTGAATAGGGTAGCCAAGGTAAATCTTGACTTTGCAAAATCACGAGCTGCTGGAGCACATCAGAGTTAGGAAAGCCAAGTTTGCAGTTCTCCAAAAACCTGGATGTCCTTCCAGAAGTGCAGCATATAGTATTGATGCCTTCCTCCCGAAAGTGTCCAGCACAGCAGGCAAAAAAGGAATTGACAGAAAGTGTACTGCTTCTGATTTACTAATAGAAAGTATAAAACATCAGGAAGATATCAGATTTAAAAGAAATTTGCAGTAATAAGCTCAACAGCACTGGTCTATATGAATAGCCTCTGGTTCAAGCACATATGCAATGAGGTTTTAACAGCTTACACTTTAATAATTGAAAATGCTGAGCAATTGGACGAGGTTACCGAGATTCAATATTGTTTTAATGCAACTAGGGAAAAGAATTTTGTTCAAATTGTGATAGGATAAATGTTATGGGTAAATGTAACACATCCAGCAATAATTCTTAGAAGCTTTATATGGTTTATAGAAACAAAGATGCCCAAAATCTGTGCATTTGCAAAACATTCTCATTACTTTGTGCATTCTCTACAATTCTACTGTTAAAAACAAAGGAACAGGATATGTTTATTCTGCCCTTGAGCCTGTTCCAGCATTCTAGAACATAGAACATAGAACATTACAGCGCAGTACAGACCCTTCGGCCCTCGATGTTGCACCGACCTGTGAAACCAATCTGAAGCCCATCTAACCTAAACTATTCCATTATCATCCATATGTTTATCCAATGACCATTTAAATGCCCTTAAAGTGGGCGAGTCTACTATTTTTGCAGGCAGGGCATTCCACGCCCTTACTACTCTCTGAGTAAAGAACCTACCTCTGACATCTGTCCTATATCTATCACCCCTCAATTTAAAGCTATGTCCCCTCGTGCTAGCCATCACCATCCGAGGAAAAAGGCTTCCACTGTCCACCCTATCTAATCCTCTGATCATCTTGTATGTCTCTATCAAGTCACCTCTTAACCTTCTTCTCTCTAACAAAAACAGCCTCAAGACCCTCAGCCTTTCCTCATAAGACCTTCCCTCCATACCAGGCAACATCCTGGTAAATCTCCTCTGCACCCTTTCCAATGCTTCCACATCCTTCCTATAATGCGGTGACCAGAACTGTACGCAATACTCCAAGTGCGGCCGCACCAGAGTTTTGTACAGCTGCAACATGACCTGATGGCTCCGAAGCTCAATCCCTCTACCAATAAAACCTAGCATACTGTACGCCTTCTTAACAACGCTATCAACCTGGGTGGCAACTTTCAGTGATCTATGCACATGGACACCGAGATCTTTCTGCTCATCCACACTACCAAGAATCTTACCATTAGCCCAGTACTCTGTATTCCTGTTACTCCTTCCAAAGTGAGTCACCTCACACTTTTCCGCATTAAACTCCATTTGCCACCTCTCAGCCCAGCTCTGCAGCTTATCTATGTCCCTCTGTAACCTGCAACATCCTTCCACACTATCCACAACTCCACCAACTTTAGTGTCATCCGCAAATTTACTAACCCATCCTTCTACACCCTCATCCAGGTCATTTATAAAAATGACAAACAGCAGTGGCCCCAAAACAGATCCTTGAGGTACACCACTAGTAACTGAACTCCAGGATGAACATTTCCCATCAACCACCACCCTCTGTCTTCTTACAGCTAGCCAATTTCTGATCCAAACCACTAAATCACCCTCAATCCCATGCCTCCGTATTTTCTGCAATAGCCTACCATGGGGAACCTTATCAAACGCTTTACTGAAATCCAAATACACCGCATCAACCGCTTTACCCTCATCCACCTGTTTGGTCACCTTCTCGAAGAACTCAATAAGGTTTGTGAGGCACGACCTACCCTTCACAAAACCGTGTTGACTATCCCTAATCAAGTTATTCCTTTCTAGATGATTATAAATCCTATCTCTTATAATCCTTTCCAACACTTTACCCACAACCGAAGTAAGGCTCACTGGTCTGTAATTACCAGGGTTGTCTCTACTCCCCTTCTTGAACAAGGGGACAACATTTGCTAGTCTCCAGTCTTCTGGCACTATTCCTGAAGACAATGACGACATAAAGATCAAAGCCAAAGGCTCTGCAATCTCCTC